TTAGGTATGCAGTTTGCAATGCTGCTCATATGCCTGCATTACTTGTTAGCTAGTCTCATAGCTCCAGTGTCAAAGCAAACAAAGAAACTTCAGACACCAAACATGTCTTGGCTTGACATCTACACTTTGGGCAATGGGAGAATTGGATAAATTAGATTTTTCTGCTGAGCTAGTGGTCACCAACCCTCTTGGTGATCTACTTTTCTCTACGTTTCACTTCCAAACCAAGTCTAACACACCACCTTCAGCTAATCAAGGACCAAAGAAGGCAATAGTTAAACGGATCCGGTGGGATTGATTACAATTGAAGGTAAAGTCTGCAAGAGGGTATATGTCCAGGAGCAGGGTTGGTGACCATTGCTTTAAAGTTACGCTGTTCAGGCTGATTGGGCCCAGGTTCATGTATTACCGATGGAAAGTCCTCCAGGACTTGTCGGTCCTTCTCCTTGCTCTCTGTGAAGCACCAGTCTGGCTCGTAGAGGAAAGTGTGGAAGTCATGCAGCAGTGGAACCTTCTTCTCCAAAGGAATTGTCATGTCATCTTCAACTGTGTCCAGGGCCCGAAGAACCAGGTAGAATATACATACGGCATGACTACCAGATGAAAAAAAATGAAAGAGAGAAAACGAATGAGAGAGAGCAATTAGAATTCCAGAAAATGCATCTTTCAGAGATGTTTGAAAGCCCTGGTGAATTGTAGCAATGAAATGTACAACAGCAGTATGGCACACTATTACCCAACAGCTGCCTAAAATAAATCATACCCTAAAGCCTTGCTCTGACCTTACATGACCATGTGCATGCTTCGTGGATAAATACTGCTGTTGGCTTACGCCATATATGTATGTATGCATGTTTACAAGCAACATTGATGAATATCATCAGTGCGTTTGCCAATAATAAAACATGGAATGTTTAGTTAAGTCAAATCTTCAAGCAATATATATATATCTGATAGTTTGCAACTGAATCACGTGTACTTTGTTGCGGTTAAGCCTCTCCAAGCAACATACAGCCATGAAGCAAGTCAGATCTTGCAGCTTTCAAACGAGCTTGCAAACCACCAGCCTTGTCAGGGCTTTTGTCAGGGTTAAACCATAAAATACACAACAAACTAAAGTTTATTGTGCCTCAGCACAATCTTTCGTGCTGTTTATATTTGATAAGTTGCAAACTATTTGCATATCAAGCCTCCGCAACCAACATGGAGCCAGGCAGCAAAGAAAAGGAAACGGGCCACTGCAGTGTTTAGTGAGTGGGAGGGAGGAGTTTGACACGTTTCATGAGGCGACTTTAACAACGCTTGCAGTCTCCTTTTCAAATGATTTGACATGAACTGAACACTCTTGCTCAAACATAGACAGAAACTGTAAGAGGATGGAATAGAACAGAGCGACAGTTTACAGCTCGTATTTGGTCTTATCAGTTAAGCCTAATAATCCGAATAACACTGGGCATTTTTGCAGCAGGAACGATACATTAACACCGTGATATTATACAAACAATCATACAATAAACCGTTCCTCAGGTTCGTTTCTGCAGGCCTAATTTTCATAATCATTATAATATTCATGTGCAAATTGAAGCTTTTGCAAGGAATAAAGTAGGTCTGTCACATTTGTTTACAGCTATAGACACGCCTCTCCCGTATAAACATGCTAGGGCAAAAGAGTGGAAGGATTTTGAGGTCCTACCGTAACTCTCCGTCGAGGGCCTGGATTACAGCGGCGAAACTTCTGCTGGTCTGGTTCAGATAAACATAGCATGTCCGCAAAGTCTCGCTCATGGACTCCTGACAAGAAAAGAACAAACACGCAGCGTGTCGATAAGGGCCGGCGAGTTTTAAGTGGTGGGGTCGGGCGACCAAGCAGCCCTCCTGAACGCCCCTTCTCCCCACGGCCAGGGCGGGTGGTCGTGGGGCCGAAGCCGAGGAAGCCGAGCCCCGCACCGAAAGTGTGCGCTTGAACACGGAGAAGGACGCTGTGTTCTTGCAACAAACTCCTGCCATGTGCAGTTCTCCCCAGGTTTTGCTATAGTGTCATTGCAGTTTGGGGAAGCTGAAGCTGCGTGGAGAGTGAGTGTCGCTGCCAGCTAAGATAGAGTTGGAGTGGCGAACGAGCTAGACAGTTGTAACTTGAAATGTAACTACAGCGTTCAGTTCAGTGGAGATCTGCGCCACGCAGCGTTAGTGCTTTGTTTCTGCCTTTGATTTTCCCCGCCCACTTTTTTTAGAACCAAAACAGACTCGTCTTGTTTTCTGACTCACGTCACTGCACGTCGAGTATCCAGCGAAGGACAACTTATAACACACTTAGCCTATAAATATTACTTACACATCCCTCCTTGTCGTAAAGTGAGTACTTTTATTCAAGATGTCAATGAAATCAAATGCAGATATGTCAGCAGCATAAAAGGCAATTATGAATTATTTTAATTCAGTCGACTTTAATTACGTCGACAGTAAGCAGGTGACTGCAATGAGCACATGGGCATTTACTTATGCCTTTGGAATATGTGACAATATGTGGGTAAAGAAAACCCTCAATTAAATGCACAAAATAAGTTTGCAAGCTCCTGTACATTTAAGGTAACTGAGCGCATTGTACAGTTTGAATTCGCAGCACAGCTAATGTATTTACAGTACGGCTAATGCAGGTTAGTTTTTTCTTTTTTTTAAATTAAATCAATTTTTGCGTTACTGCTAGCTTTGCTAGCATCAGTTAGCATTTTGTTGGCATGTTGACATACTTTAGTTCAGCTAGCATCAGTTCTTTCGTTAGCAGCATGAGGCAATGAAAATGGATGTAACTGTAAAGCGTTAGCCTAAAAACAAGCCGGAGCCTGTGCCAGCTCACTAATGACATAATGAGCACATCATATTGTGGGCGTTCTCTATTAGAGGGAGTGGGCGTGTCTTATCTTGCAGGAAACATATCTCTCACTTGGGGGTCCTTGACAAGTTAGTTAATCAGAAAACTCCTGGCCTGTGGTTACAGCTACTTCTGTTTAGTTACTGTTTTGGAGAGGCTCTGACAAAGAGAGTTTGAGCTGTTTATTACAAACATTGGCCCATTTTTTGAACGTTACCTGTTGCTGCTAAAGCAAGCAGTTTTGCTAAAGCTAATCTGTCATAGTGATCAAGACAAAACACGCAAAAAGAAAAAAACTGAAAACGGATGAGGGAGACTTGCTCCTAGGTGTCTTCAACATGGAGATCACTGGATTAACTGTCAAACATGCGCAGCGAATCCCCCACACCACGCACACACTGAGAACGGAGCTTATTATATAATGACAGCCCAGCCATTTCGTCAGTGGTTCTGTAACATATTGTCATCAAAAGATGACAGAAAATAACAGAAAGACATGCCATCTCTGTTGCTGATGGCGTTCCGGTCCAATTGCACATCCCCCGTTTGATCACCGATTATGTGTTCTTTTTTAGTCTCTGAAATCATGGAAAATGCAGATAGTACATGACGTTCAGGAGCCTCAAAACCCCTGAAGATGCGTCGTTAAACTCAGGAGGCTGAAATGAAGCCGAAGGATTTTGTGAAGCATGTCGTTGGAATATTTTATGCTGAGAGGAATATTTTTGAAAGTTATCAAAAAAAGGCTTTACTCACATAATCCAATTTGGGCATGACAGCGCGACAGCCTCCCATTTTGAATTTAAACAGGTTGTATATTTCTTCCGGATGCCCTAAAGACTTAAGAATATCCATTTTGTTGTGCCTACTTTTACATACGGTGAGAAAGCTTATCTCAGCGCTGGTTTACTAAAAATGTAGCCTATGTTTAAGCCCCCACGGTCTTTTTATCCATCCTAGTAACATATCACCAGCTCTCAGAACAGGATTCCCTCCCGTCTGCATTTGCTAATACAATCCCTTCAAATCGCGCGAATCGTCAGATCGACTGAGCTTTGTGATTGGCTCCGGCGTCATGGGCTCAGCGCCTTCGAACCAATAAGCTTCTAGAGCGGCTGGTGTGATGTCCCGCCCCTCACAGTACGTGCTGGTCTTACTGTGTACGCAGCCTCTGATTGGTCAGTTCCCTGTAAGTACATTATAAACTACTGTGTGGTGATTCTGAGAGATCCGAGCGAGCACAGCAACCAGAGCTGCACGACCTCTGTCTGTAAATACTTGTTATCGACATTTAGAGCCTTTCATACGTCCCAATGGATCAATAAAGCCTATCTATCTATCTATCTATCTATCTATCTATCTATCTATCTATCTATCCATCCATCCATCCATCCATGCATCATCCATCCATCCATCCATCCATCCATCATGTAATATCTACCGGGGATTAAAGGGGTTCCGATTTTTCAATATTTCTGCACAATTCAGTCGTTGAAATTTAAACAGTCATTCAGAGTGTGTCAATATGAAAACTGTTAATTGTTGAGACACTTAATTTCTTCTTCTATCTAAAGTGACCAGTGAACTTGCATATGTCGTCTGAATTTTTTAATAATGTTTATAGTGGTATGTCTGAAAAAATGTTTTCTTTGGGAACTATTTTGCCTTATAATGCCCTGCATGTACTTCCCCACTATGAATGTGTTTTAAAAACATGTTTTACACTAAAGCCTTCTCAAAACTATAGTAAAACAATGTCCCAGGCATCAGGCAGCATATTCATAACCGTGTAATAACTTTCCATGATGTGGCTTTCAGAGGCATTAAACTCCTCAGACATCTGGTTCATACAATTTTGTTCATACAAATGTCTCTATATTTTGTGTATATTTTGTGTATATTTAATATATTTCAGTTTCAGTATTTTCTTGTGTTTTTATGTTTACTTTGTTTGCTATCTGTAGAGTGATTACTTGAGCCTCGCCATAAGCATTTCAATACATGAATGTCCTGACATGTTGTGCAAATGACAACCACTCTAAATGACTTCTAATGATAAACTGAATTATCCACCGCAGACCCCACCTCTTAGGTAATGAAACTGTGAAATTAAATTAAGTGCATTTTGGTCTTAATGACACTGTAGGGTTTAATGAATATTTATTTTGTATTTCCATCAATTCTGACAAAGGCAAAATAACAAAGAAAAATAGTTAAAAAGTTTTTGAATAATCAATTACTGCACAAATACTTCAATGCTTGTGATCGTCACTGTCACAGCTCATGCTAGTCCTTCACACTTAGTGTGGTCACATGGTTCTTTATTGGTTTACTTGTTCACTAAAAATGTAGCCTATGTTTAAGCCCCCATGGTCTTTTTATCCATCCACATGGTGTCTTTCTACGACACAGTAAAGCACTATAATGGAGTTAGGTGTCTATACATAGCCTACATATATTTTATACACATTCATATACTGTTGGAAAATTACACAAGCAGAATGTTTTTCCTCATAAACAAATGAGAAAAAAGCTAACACTGTTTAAAGTATAATGGGGATCCTACTTTACACCGACTTCACCCACAGTTAGGACCCTGTGCCACAAGAAAGTAATGACTTGACTCTGTATTAAGTCAATAAATATTAAGAGTAAATGTTCTCCTCAAAATTAAGAGGAAAAAAAAAGAAATCAATAAATGCAGTCAATTGAAAGGGACAAATTTCTTGTGCATAATTATAAACATTGCTTTCAAGATTAGTGATAAAGATCTTCTTTGGTTTTCATTATTGAAGTGGCTTGATTTTGATTTCATTCTGACAAGACTGATTTTATGTAAGTTTACTCGTGAATGACAACTACAAAATTCATGATATTTCATGTGAATGTTAAAAGGACTATGCGAATGTTGGACCTCTTTAGAGTTCTCATAGTTTTCTTTTAGTTGTAGTGGTCTTAACTGCTTTTGTGGGTAATTTTTAAATTCAGACTGGGAACATGATGGGCCTCTTGCCTGGTTTTGTGTATTAAGTACTATATATTAAAGAAGTTACAGTCACAGTTACAGTTTTTTGCTGGAACAGTATGGACTAATATAATGTTTATCGACATGGATATGTTTGTGACAGTAAGAGAATACATCCTTATGTCATTAGGCAAACTGTTATTTCAGACAGTTAGGAGTGGGCTTCTTTTGTCCATATAAGGAGTGCTTTGCCTGTGTTTGAATGTCCTCTTTAAGAGGCTTTTCTCTTACTAGACAGGCCAGATTCTTCTTAATGTGCAACATATTCCTGGCAGGGGTGACCCTTGGACAGGGAGTGTATTTTTGTGTGAAGTAACCAAAGCTAGACATAATCACCCAAGTTGTTATCATTAGTAGAACATCAGGGAAGTCAGAGGCCACTAATAAAAATCATTACCAGCCTGCAAAGTTATCACTTTGCCATATTTGTTGAGAGTATAACATTGTTTAAATGGTGGCAAATGCTAGAAAGCTAACAGAGTAAAAACTTACATAGCTTGTCTATTTGTCTCTTGATAAATATTAAAGGCACTTTACAGTGGAGTAAATCCATCAGTCTGTGAGATTTTGCAAGATATTTTGTGTTCCTGTTGTCTTTGGTCTCTGGTGTCGGTCATCTTCATTGTGTGTTCCCAAGGTTCTTTAGCCTTGACAGGCCATTTTCTTTATTTTTCACTCTAGTACATTCATCAGTTCTGTTGCTTGTTTAGTGACACTGATTTGAATCCTTGAAAAAAAAGTTTTTCTGTTCTCTTGCTTCTCTTAGAATAAACTCAGAAATCCATTTTACAGTATCTCCCACTGTCCCATGGTTGTGTTTGCTTGGTTTTAGCTTTGCGGTCTTTGGTCGTTTTGAGGATTGGTTGCCAGACAGTTTCTCTTTGCTCTCCATGTCTGACATGTCTCAGGCCTTGTGCTGGTCCTCACGGAAAGTGCAGCATCTGACCATAGGATGTCAAGTTGATGCCTAAGCAAGAATCAGGCTGTTCCAGGGCTCACTTTTAGAAGTGGGTGTTCCTGCATGGCCTCCTGGGGAGAGTTTCAGGGATGATGCCCCATGCTGGCTTCCCCATGCTGGAATAGCAGAGACCTGGCAAGAAAAAAACAGTAGTTCTCATCATGTTTAAACTGACAAAACCACAAAATGTGTGACTGCATTAACAGCTAGGATTGGTAGTTGTTGTGTTCTTGGTCAGCTGAGTTTCCATCAGTCAACTATTGTATTTTTTATTTATTTCTTCATGTATGTACAGTATACTGTGCAAAAGTAAGAGACCATCCTTTCATTTGTCTAATTTCCCATCAAAACAGCCATCAAGTTCTAGTTCGTCTGTCAGTGTCAGAAAAAGAGCAGAAAACAGATTTAACAGACAATTAGACAGAAGCCTCATCAACTAAATAGAATATCTTTTTTGTATTTAGTTTATTCACCCTATGCCTTTATTACATCTTTCATGCTTTTCGAGAGGCTGGTTTTCAGTTTTTCTTTTTTTTTTTCCTTTTTTTTATTGTATTTTTTCCAGGGGAGACATTTGAAAGCATGCAATGACAACATACAATTCCATGCACGTGTTAATTTCCAATTATATATATCCTTTCATACACCTTGTAATCTATATCTCTCCATCTTTTTTATCCTTTAAAAAATCTTTTTTTCCCCTTCTTTTTGACATTCTGTAAATGTAAACAAATAACTATATACATTAAAACCTGAGGAGATGCCTTGGGGTTAAAAAAGAAAGGGGACAGGTAAGAAGAAAGGGGGAGGGGGGAAGGGAGGGAGTACTCACTCACATTGCATCTCTACAAACTCTGGTCTTATAGACTTTATATAATTAACCCATTTTAACCAGAATTTAACAAATTTTGTCATCTTCAGTCTAATAGAAAAAGTAATTCTTTCCATTAGATATATTTCATGACCAGGTTTATCCGGTCATCCAGTGTAGGGGGATCAGGAGATGTTTTCAGTTTTTCAAAGAAATTTGCAGATATATTTTTCTTAGTTTAGTTTAGTCTGATCTTAGAATTTAGTTGCATTTTCTGCTGCTTACGATCCAAGTAATCCCAATTACAGACTTAGAATCATCAGTCTGTAAAGACTTGCTCCACACTTCAGATGTCTGGTTTCAGTGTTCTAACTTGAAAGGATGGCCTCTGACTTTTTCACAGTACTTTATTTACTTGTTTATTGAAGTAAATTATAGTTAAACCTGAAGATATTTCTGCAAATGGACCATATAACTGGAACATATAACTATTGAGTCTCTGTATAAGATTAAACATCATTCTGTTTTACTGAACATGTTGTTCACTGGATAATGCAGAGCATGGTAGATGCAACACAAAAAAGTCTTTGAATCGTAAATCAGGTCTTTTAGTCGACTGTGTGTGCATGTTGGTTTACCTGAGTACGTATGTTATGATGGGAATAGAGAGTAGGTGTCTCTGGCTCAGTCTTGATGGGACAGGGCTCTGCTGTAGTGCCACTGGTGCTGGCTGCACCAGAGGGGGTGTGGCCTTCAGTCCCAGGGGTCCCTGTTAATCATATGTTCAGGCAAAAGTTTATTATTATTTGTTCATAATAATATTTATACGTTCTTTATTATATTGTTCATGATCATGTTAATCTCTTTTCCTCTTCAAGACTGCGCACATGTATATTAGAGCATGATTGTCATACCAGGCTTGGACTTGTTGAGGTTTTTGGGTTTGCGCTTGCGAGTCTGAATCCCTTCTTTCTTCATAGCAAGAGGGCGAGGAACCTGCATGGAAAAAGATTTGTATAAAAAACAGATTCACTGTTGCTTTTAATCCTTTGAGTAGTAGACTTATTCATTTATAATTTTTTTTTCCCGACTCTGAAGGTAATAAGTAAGCCAAGTTGGTATGAGAGAGCATGGGGACCTACAGACCTTTAGTGTGTAAGGCAGGGTTAATCAATTCTAGTCATGGAAGACCAGAGTCCAGCACAGTTGGATGATGTCACTGCTCTAACACAGATATGAAATCTAACAATTAAATAAAGATTTCCTTCAAGGATCTGGGACTCTTGCCCTCCATGATCAGAACTGCTGACAAGGATTTAAAAGGTTAAAGGAATAGTTCAACGTTGTCTCCCTTACCAAAAACATAGTCATCCAGCCTAGACATATTTGGTGTCCTAATTTTGCTTCTTTAGTGTTGCAATGAAGATACAAAGCTAATACTGAATAAAGTTAATTGTTTAACTTCATAAAATGCACCGCCAAATTTAACATGACGTTAAGAGCAAATATTGTTGTGGTCACACATTTTCTTATTTATAAATGAGGATTCCTGTCCTGTTTACTGGATAAACATGGTTTAATTTAACCATAACTGTAAGTTAACAGTAAGCTGTACTTGCCAATCAGCATAACTGTTAACAGCACAGTGCTTTTATGAACTTGGAGCACTAATATGGAATTTGAAAAACAAAAATAAGTTTTTGTCAAACACTGAGACTCTTTTGACAGTGGATAGAAGTTCTTGTTACAGTTAATATCACGTTAATTAAGTTGGCTTGAATCACAAAACTTGGTAAGATCACTGTCAAAACAGATGACTCTCTAATGGTTCTTTAGTAAAGACAGTGGTTCTAGATAGAACCATAAACACTCAATGAACCATTTGCATGATTAAATGGTTCTTTGCATGGTGAAATGGTTTCTCAGATTGATGGAGAATGCGTTGTATATGGTTATATATAGAACCTTTTTAAAAAGGGTTTCTATATAGCACCAAAAAGGGTTCTGCTACTGTTACAACATCAAGCTTGTATCAATAGAAGAATCTGTCAATCTGAAGAACGAACAGCCTAACAACACCTTAGCAACCACCTGGGATATCATTATCAACAGCCTAGTAACATCTTGGCAAACAAGATTTTTCTCAGAATTAATAAAGTTCTATCTGTCTACTATGTATCTGATTCTGAGATGTTTGTTTTTCTTTGACATAGCATGTCCACTTTGAAACACAAAAAGCTTTCATTGGGCACTTCACTGAGCAGCTCATCGACCTGTTAGTTTTGATCAGCTTTTACCTAGAACAGAAGTAAAAAAAAACCAAAAACCCCACAACATTAAGGAGATGACCGTGGATGACCGCAACAGACTATATGAATAGGACTTAATTACCATGCTGCACATTTTGCGTGGTGTAGTGTAGTTACTCCACACTTTTATGAACCTGACTTATTTTGGGTGACATACACTCACATTGCTTGTTAGCTACATCAGCCTCACTAAACATGCTGACTGTGAAACATGAATGCACTGTTGGATTCTTGATAATTATGGACTTAAATCTGTATGTGTTGGTGCATAGACATAATTGTCATCCATTTAGGACCTCAAGCCTTTGACTCAATGTGTCCCTGTGCTGGTCATAGTTTAATAATCATTCATCATATTGATTGGGAACATATTGTGGCTCTGTATCTTACCCCGTGCAGTTTCATGTAGAGTCCGCAGGCGTTACAGACAGGCTCTCCCTCTGCGTTTCGTCTCCACAGAGTGGTGGTAGTAGTGTGACAATTAGTGCATGATAAACCCACTCTCCTGGAAGCAGACTGAGTGGGAGTATGTGTGTCAGAGAGAGAGATAGAGATGATTTGTCATTTTCTTGTAGTAGCAGCAGCCGTGCTCCAGTAGCAGAACAGCAGAGTGACAGTTCTACTATACAGACTTCATTCAGAATGGACATCATCCAGTTTTCCAAAGAAATATGTCTTTATGGAATACCATCAGATCTTAATGTCTCTTATTGCACAATCCAGAGAACTTTTTCTGGAACTAATAGTATGTTGTTCTGCAAGACTCTGTTATTCTTATCTGCAGTAATGGCTAAAGGATTAAGCCTTTAGTAGAAATGTAGCAGACTGAGATTTTTGTTGTAGAAATATTTAATTCAGCAAGCAAATAACAGATAGCAGCTTTTGAGAATGAAAGTGGTTTTTGGTTGGGTACAGTGGTAGTTGTAGGTTTTGCAGTGCGTTATACTGTGAATGTTTCCAGTAGATAACCAAACTATTCTCAAACAGATCTCTTTGTCCCTTTCTTTGTCCCATGTTTTATGTAGGGAAGCTGCCTTTCTGGACTTTGCTAACAGCTCTGCTAGTTAGAGAAACTTCTGAGGTGCAAATATAACTGAGCAGTGGTAAATATCAAGCAGCGTTATTAGTGCTGTTGATATTTTTGATTGCTGGTGTGTGACAGTGGTTGTTAAAACATTTCTGTTCAACTGTACATGATTCCAAAATGAGATTTCTTATGATCTAGACATCTCCACAGAACACTCTAGAGGTAATACTATGACATTCATGCTACCTTGTCTGCTTTTCACAATAATACATTTTGTTATTTTGTATATAATAATACTTAATAACAGTGAAGATTTAAACTCTAAAATATAAGGTACTTTTAGATGTCATATTAAATATTTCAAGATTTTGGCAACAGCAATAAGTTATTAAAGGATAAATAATATACTGTAATTGCCAGAATATACTGTAAATACGTTTCTTTTTTAAAATTCTTTTTACATTTACTTTTTTTTTCTTATTTTTCACTATTTGTTTGTAATGAAACTTGTGACTTATAGATGACCGGTATATTAGAATTATTTTATGTATCGTTACTCTCCCAGTTTTTAATTTTTTCCTGCAAGCTTCAAATCCAAAAAAACAGGCATGCTCTTCTCAACAAAATAAGGCTTGGAGCCGAGTTTTATTAAAAATAATTACATTTAATTTGCAGTCACAGTACTGGTCACAATTAAATATTTTCCCCAAATCGTTCAGCCCTACATGAGTAGAATTATCATAACCTCACACACAATGATATTACACTGTTTTCAGCATTTTGTCCATTCAATTCAAAAACCAACAGGTGAAGTGACTTACTAGACAGACTTACCAGTCGTCTCTGTGGTTTGATCAGTGGCCTGTTGATGCCGTTCATCTTGTGATAAAGACCACAAGCATTACACAGGTAATGGCCAGTCCCGTCTCGCCGCCATAGGGGAGTGGACATGGCCCCACAGTTTACACACTCACGACCCTCTGCAAAATCATCAAACAGCTCTGTAAAAAAAGAAAGGCAGAAACACAAAGATTATTGTTTTGTCCATTTTCTGTCCTACATGTTCATGAGCAAACTCCAGCTGAGATCACCTTTCTGGCTGTATACTATAGACCAAGCTGTGCTCTATTCTTTTGACCAGCAGGAGGGGCTATTTCTCATACTTTAGTACCAGGGTCTGCTCGGGGGTCTGCTTTTTCTCAGTTTGAGACAGGTCCTCTCTTGATAAAAAGGCTGCTCTGTATATAGAGCAGAAATTGAGCTAATCTTTATAAATGGAAACATCACACAGAGTCCCTGAGGGGCTCTTAACAGTGTTGCTGAAGGATGGATCAGTATGAACAAACTGGAGAAAAGAGAGGACACTTTCAGTCAGTGTGTTTATTTCCTTATAATCCAAGATTGATGTTTTTTATTTTCTAAGAATATTATTCATGATCTTTCAAGTGACCATTAAATTTGTGTCAGACAAAATTGATGTTAACATACGTTAATCTCTTTGAACACAAGGGCTCTTAACCCTCCCTGTGCTTCTTCATGTCTATAAATACATTATATCTTCCAACATAAATATAGATACTGAACGATTTACATGCCACAAAAGTGTACAACTGCTTATATTAAATATTTTTTAGTTTTATTATATATTTTAGCTTTATTATATCAGAGGGCGGCACAGTGGCACAGTGGATAGTGTTGTTTCCTCATAGCAAGAAGGCCCTGGGCACTTCCTTGGAAAAAAAAATAAAATATTGTATATTTTGCAAAATTAAAAATACAATTATACATTGAAGTGCTAATCAGTGGTGGATAGAAAATAGAAAAAAGTTTTAGTAAATCTTCAGGAACCAAATGTCTCATAGACATCATATAAACCACTTAAAAAAAGAATTGAACTGACTTTTTAAAAAAATTCTGAGGATGTAAATCGTTAAGATGTAAATAAAACAATTTTGATTGTTTTGATGTGGGATGGTTCATTATAGAGAAACTTAGATTCAGCCCAGATTTTCTTTACAGTGGTGGTGATAGGAACCAGGGCTCATGATGTTTACAGTGCAAATATAGCCATTTTATTTACTGTCCAAAATGACCAATAAACCTGCATGTGTCTTTGTAATGTTCATAATAGTAAAATAGTGGTAACTCTGTAAAAACTGTTTTCTTTAGGGACTATTTTGCCTTACAATGCCCTGCAGGTACCTTTCTAACTAGCATATACAGTATCTGAAAATAGATTTTAAGCCACTCCATCATTGCACTGTTGTAAAACAATGTCTCAGACAACAGGCAATGTATCTGTAACTATTTCAACTTTTCGTGATGTAGCTTTTTAGAAGCATTAAACACTTCAGACGTTTAAATCTCTGAACTCTGCTTCTGAAAATTTTCTAGAAGGATACATTTCATATCAAACCGCTCTCAATGAGTCTGTACCTTAATGGTGAATAATGCAGAGATTTTAAAACATCTGAGGAACTTCCCTTTAAGAAATCTAATTTGTTTATTAAAATGTTTTTGTCAAGTAAAACTGAAAGACTGACTAGGTTTACAAAGTTTCTGCACACAGCTAAAAAATTGAAGGTAATATATGTTTTTCAATATATAACACTAAAAGTGCAGAAAAAGTGGCTGCATACCAGAAAGGTTGAACTAAGCATTCAATACTCCAGAAACAATCAGCCTAATTAAATGGGAATTTTACAACTTTTAAATTAAACTTAAATTATTATTTTTTTTAATTCTGCCTACTTAGATAATTAAGATTTAAACAAAGTCAGTCAGAGTGGTTTGATGGAAAATGTGCCATTCTAGTGCAAATTACTGTCTCCGAAGTGTTCACAGCAGTGGTCATAGGAAGAGTTTAATGCCTCCAAAGGCTACCTCACAAGTTATTACACAAAATTGTTCTGAGTATTCTGGCTGATGTCTGAGGAAGCATACTTGCTCGGTTTTATGATAGTTTTAAGAAGAGATTTTGTCCAAAAACATGTGTTTTTGAACATATTCATAGTGGAAGGCATTATAAGGCAAAAGTGTACCCAAAGAAAATGTTTTTAAGATTTACCACAATTTACCATTATCAACACTATATATAAAAACTCTGAAGACATTGCTGGTTCGTGAACCCTGGTTCCTATCACCACCGCTGTAAAGAATCAGCACGTTTCTACTCAACAAATTATTTTATATCAAATTACTCTGGAACTTCCCTTTAACCTGAATGGTAAAGTTCCTTATGGATCAAAGGATTGTAATCTGAAAGGTCTCTTTTTCTCTTCTGAGTCTCTGTAAGGAATTTGGATGTTGCTGAACTGGAGACAGACAATGGCCTCTTCCCAAGGTTCACAGAAACATTGCTACGGCTCTAACCTTGAGACTTGCGAGAGCCAGTTGGCACGTGTGAGAAGAACAATGAACAAAAGAGCACTGACACTGTGAGTACTGTTTTCTTCAACCTCGGGCGCCAGCAGCCACCTATCATACAAACAAGCGGTTGCATCCAGTAAGTTGCAAGCAGTAGACCGGACTAAATCCGATTTATCGCACAGCATGAGTCAGATTCTGTTTTCATCCAGACTAAGAAAGCAGGCTATAGAAAATGATTCCTGTGTGGCAATTATAGAATTCCATAATACAGAGTTATGAGGAGATACACTAAAAGTTTATAACCTGTCAAAATATTTAGACTAGCTGATTGATCATGGAAACAAAGTTCACTGGAAATACATGAAAGGTTGTGTGTTGAAAAATGACATGATGGCTTCAGGAAGCTGAAAGGTTTAACTTAACGTTAATCAGGCAACCTGATTAGCTTTGGAGATCAGCAACAATCTTATAGATTTTCGAGTGCTGTCTTGCATTACCAAGTAAAAATAATACCAATATCAATTTATTCTGCCATTTTCATTCAGGTTTCACTAATGATCTGGTCAGGCCCAATAACAAGTAACCATTCCTCTATTTCTTTCATATAATACCAGGAATTCTTCCCAGCAGTGGTGATAGGAACTGAAGTACTTAATACCTCTAAAAGCTACATCACAGTAGTCTACTATACAAAATGGCTACAAATACATTACCAGATTATTAATGCGTTGTTTTGCAACAGTTTTTAAAAGATAGGGTTTTCACTTATATTTTTATAACATATTTATTTACCAATTTTTTTTTTGTTTTTGTTTTACCATTATCAGCATTATGTATAAAACTCAAAGACGTGCAGATTCATTGGTAATTTTGGACAGTAAACAAGTGTTGTGACACTTGGTTCCTATCACCATCACTGTAAAGAAAATTCAGTTTGGCAAGTTTGTCTAGAATAGCACATTTCACATCCGACCACTCTAACATTTGAATTATGCAGAGATGTTTAAAAAATTGGTGAAATTCCCCCTTAAAGTAGAGAGTTATTGTGACTCTCTGGAAATCTGTGATTGACAACATATGCAAAGATAAAGTAAATGATTACATTTTTTATATATTTTTATTGGATTCTGTCCAACACCTACAAACTTGGCCACAAAAACCAATACTCCCTTGCCAGTACAATTTGCTGACCAGAGGCTTTAAATTGGCACAGAGATTAACTCATGCATTCTACATTTGCTCTGAACATGTGGCCTAATTATAGAATATCAATCACACTGATCAATCTTAACCGACACTGGCAATGTGTCAGATAGACCATAGACCAAGAGAAACGCTGACACATAGGCTGGTCACACCCTTTATTACTTCATTACTTACTGCAGAATATATAATATTAGCCTATATAGCAATACCTAAAGACTTGAAAAAAGTATGCATTTATTCAATCCATGACAGTGTCCTTTGATACACCATCACAGATTATGTTGTTCAAGTTCAATGGTGGTAAAATAAATAATTATAGCTGATTTTTTCTGGGGTAACAAGAACCTATTCTGAACTTTTTCTGGTATACATTACAGCCCTCAATTGTGAGTTCTTTTTACCACTGTTTTTAATGACTTTAAGTGCTGTATATTGAATGGTTTTACTTTTAATTTCACTTCTTTTGTTTTAAACAGTGCTATTTTATGTATTATGCAACAGTTACACAATAATATTCTCTCCACACTGCTTAGCGATCCTAAGAGCAAGGTTAGAATTTGATGGCCCCAAAGCTTAGAAGTTAACACCAAGAAAAAAACTCAAGCGCATGCAAGCCATCTCCATTCTCTTTCTTTCCTGCTGACATGGTCATTATTAGCACGCTCAAAGTCCACTCTGTGTCCTGTACCCCACTGATAGCGAGCTGATATTTGGGTAACCACCTCCAAACTCACCTGATACTGTAGCCCTGCAGGCCAGAAACATGCAGGCCCATAGCCCACAATGCAATGCTGCATTCAGTGGCCAATATCAGGACTTTACCGTTAGATAACAGATGGGTAATATTTAAGCCAGCATTATTCTGCTTATTCAGGTGTTGGGGAGATTGGTCCAACATTTTGTGATCACGCCTGCACTTTACAAATGTTTTATATCGTGGTCACTTCTAAACTAATGGACAGGACTACTTTTGGATAAAGGACACAGCCCACTGAGTTCTTATAGCACCCTAGAGCTATAATAATAGCTAATGATCTGATACTTTAAGTTCATCAAACTGATTTCTCACTTGCTTTTCTTAATCCACATGCTTTACTGTTAGACAGTCATGGAAATGTTTAAGCCTGCATTGAAGCGTAAAATATATTTATTAGTATTTTCTGCATCTTTCAATCATTGAGATGTAAAAAAAGATTTTAATGTGATGTGGTTCACTGTAGAGAAGCTTAACGACCACAACACAAATATACAGCCATATTATTTAGGACCCAAAGCGACAGGTAAACCTACACGTGTCTTCTGAATGTTATCTTGATGTTAAAATAGTAGTTAAAAAAATATTTTGGTACTATTTTCATTACAACGCCCAGTATGTACCTCTCTGCCACGAATGGCTTCTTAAAAAACGTTTTAACACAAAACTTTGTCTCAGAACTATCGTAAAACAATGTCTCAGGCATCAGACAATGTACTCGGAACCATTTTGTGTAATAGATTTTTTGAGGTAGCTTTTAGACGTTTCGGACGTCTGGTTCCCATCACCCACACCGTGAACAATTCTGAGTCGGTAAGTTTCTTAAGAGTGACACATTTCAAGTCAACTCACACTGAATGACTTTATTTACGTCTAAACGATTGAATTATGCAGAAATTTTAAAAACTGGTGAAGTTCCCTTTAAGAACGTAAAGTGAAGTGTAAAGACGATTCAGCTTCTTTTTGGTTTAGGCATAAAAGGTCCAGGATAGGAACGTACTCAGCTGGTGATCTATACCAGCATGATTTCATTAACCCGCTATCGAAATGCTTTTGTGGTTACATGAACGGTATTCGTCTCTGATTAGCAGGAAGAGTCAAGAAGCTAAAACGTTTAGAGAAAAGATTAAACAGCCAGCGAGTCTCCTCCTCTTACCTATCATAGTGTTATTACTTGATCAATAGCCTACCGTTTAGAATACTAGTTCCACAGTCTTCTTAATCAATTACGGATCATATCATTTCGATTTTGTCGTTTAACCGCGAAAGACGGTTTTTTTTTACTAGTAGCTCTTTTTTATTATGCATGGACTTAAACTGCGCCTTTACGCATTTACAGTGTAGTCTTTAATTTGTGGTTGTGCAGAGCGTGTAGTTTGAAAACTGTTCTCTTCGTCTTGCATTTTACTTTTACAAAATCAGAGATCAATAAAGCGGGAAGTACGTGGACGATTATAGTAGGTCAACATGCAGTTCCTCAGCATGATCACCTGGCTGTCGACTACACCCAGGATAAGGGCATCAAATCAAAAGTAAAAGTCTGGAACCTGGACTTACATCTTACAGCTTCTATTTAATTATATCTAATATTAGATAAAGATTTAACCGTGAACTCCACAGTAATGTGGGAAGCTTGAAGTGAAAGTCATTAAACAATAGGATAATACTGGACAGTGTACATTCTTCTAAACAGTGAACAGTGATGTGACAAATACAGTACCATTAATCACCAAAAAAGATTAGCCTTCTTAAATAATAACATACATATGTACACACATATATTCATACAGTCGTATGCAAAAGTTTTAACACCCCTGGTCAGATGACATGTTTTGATGACTTTCTAAATAAAAATATAAGGCATACTCTACAGAGAACAAAAGGTTAAATGTGACATTTTCTGCAAATTGTATTGGACATTTACTGTTACTTTGCTGAATTTAGCATATTTGAAAAAATATATATTAAATGTGCCATAATTTTTGCTCCGGTTACATTTATGTTGTATTTTTTCCGCTATGCTATGGTCAAAGCAAATAAACAGTAATTGTGTATTAAAATGTACAGAAGTGTGTTCTCTGTTGAGGATATGCACTTAAGTGCGTTTTCACTTTGAACGTCAACAAAACGTCCTTTTTGGCATAAGACTGTACACACACACATGCATGCATAATAATTAATAAATAAAATGATATATGAATTTATAAATATATAACAAAGTTATAATAGTCGCTTTTATAAACTGTCACTTGTAGTTCTGTTTTTTTTTATATTTCTATTATTATTATTATCACTTAGTGCGGGTAAATGACTTTTTCCTCAGAACTTGCCGCTTTAATCATGAAATCTCGTTAATATTTGCCGCTAAATTCATTAAACTAATGCGAATCTGCACTTTTTTTCAAATATTAAACAGCATAATGATTATGAGTAGCATGGCCAGGCAAACACAGAGTATAACTAAAATCAGCTCTACAGTCACGTGCGCCTTTCGTCTTGCATTACAGCTATTCTTCATCACAGCATGATATGTTTACTTTTGGCACACGTGAGCAAATCTGAAGAATTGTAAGGCTTAACTTCGGACCATTAAAGCCCGATAAACAGCAGTAAATTCTCACCTATTGACTGTATGATCACTTACAAACAGCCAGTATTCGACTGTAGTTAAATGTCGATAGCTTCGTATAACTCGGATCCAGTAATGTACCAGAAAACAGGTACACTAAAAACAATGCAAGATGAAGCCACTTAAACTCGTTTCATAGTCTTAAATCTAAATGTTCAAATTGGGATGTACAATCGCAACATGATCGTGTGGAGTAAACAGCAGTAAATCCTCTCCAGTTTGTCTATAAGATGACACAAAACCACCACATGATCATGTCAAATAACGACATTTATCTTTTTGTCTGTATAATCACCAGGGTCCGTCTATTGAATATAACCATCTTACTGTAACAACCATTACGACTACAATCATTTCTGGAATCTATATATGAGGTCACCTAACAAATAATAAGGCTTATGCTGAAAGATTAGCTTAACCAAAAAGCAACTGCGTTAAAAGACGAGATCAAAAGCAGCGTATTCGTGTGACTCAATCACGATCTGATCACGTCCACAAAGAACAGGCAAATTTCAAATCTTCTGATCACCCTAATCACTCACGAAGGCAAAGTTAAAACAAAGTTAAATGAAAACCTACGATTTGTTGCACAAACAAGTCCTTACTCGCGTTTGACGCACAATCACATTATAACAATGTTGAGTTACGTTGGTAAAATGTTTTAAGTGTTTTTATTAAAATAACGCACTCCACACAAGATCAAAGGCAAGATCAAAACACTTTAAATTTCAGATTAAAATCGTGTGCAATATTATATAGAATTATAATTCTATATAGATTATTTAAAATCATGTAATTAAATATATTTCTTTATAGAGTATATAGAATTGTGACATGATATAGAGTTGGATCAGTTGTGAAATGCTGAGATAAAATAATACACGAGATAAGAAAATACTAAACTCTTAAATTATAACCGCAATAGATGTGTTCATGTCTATTTCGATCAGTAAGAGATTCTTTGTATGCTGTAAAGTTATGCTCTATGCTTAAAAACTTCTTGCCTACACTGTAAAAAGTGCACAGGGCAGGAGTTGAACTGGGTTGTTTTTAAGGCTTGAATTGATACAAAGTATTGCTTTTGTCCATGTAAACTAAAATTTTGCTTAACATTATTTAATTCAAAGTATTTATTAATTTGAACTGAGGAAGCTTTTTTAGTGTGCAAAAATTTGCGCATGCAGTCACGTGCAATCCGGACGCAATCCTGTCCAACAACTGCAGTAAATTCTCACCTACATTGACCCGTATCAGCCTGCCATGATCACGTTCTGAAGCTCTTACCCAGGTTCGGGTGTCTGGCGACGGCGCTCTGGCCTCCGGACTGTAGGCCGTGAAGCACGGAGCTGTCGAAGTGGGACGCGGCCCACGTGCCCCCCATGCCGGGACTCACGTACGCGGGATAGGCACTCGGGTGGTAGGAGGCCCCGAGGCCGCGCGCACCGCTCCCTGGGATGCCAGCCGGACTCTCGCGCGCGCCACCCACCCCGGAGCCGAGCGCTGGGCTGGTGGAGAAGGCGAAGCGCGGGGAGACGGGCGGCGCGTGCGCCGAGTTGACCGAGCCGCCGGTGCTGTAGGAGGAGGATGTGGAGGAGGAAGAAGGCACGGGCTCCTGCGCCCAGGCTGAGTGCGCGGAGGAGGCGCTATGCTGGGGAGCCCCGTGCGCCTGCAGGTAGGGCAGCGCCGGGAGCATGGCGGGCACGCGCGGGCTCGGCACGTACACCGGCGACGTGGCGGCGGGCGCGGCTGAGGGCAGGAAACTCGCCTCGTAGGACGTAGCGGCGTGGTGGTGGCTCGCGCTCATGGCTAAACCCTGATACATGGCGCGCGAGGCCGCGAGAGCGGGAGCTGCTGCCGTTAGGGTGCGGGAGAGCGCAGAACGCCCCTCAGCGAGAGCATGGCGAGCCCACTGAGCTTCAGAGAAAACCCACACCTGGATCAGGAGGAGGAGGAGGAGAGAGAGAGAGAGAGAGAGAGAGACAAAGAGAGAGTAGAGCGGGGACGGAGGGGGAGTGAGCTAAGCTGAGTGGAGAAACGTGGAGAATCTCTCTTTCTCTCTTTCTCTCTCTCTCTCTCTCTCTCTCTCTCTCTCTCTCTCACTCACTCTTACTCTAATTTCTCCGCCTCAATTAAATCTATTACTCCATATTTTAATTTATTTTCAAAATATGTGAATTATAATATTCTACCACTAAATCAAATTATGTTACTTACACTGCTACATTCTCCACAGTACTGCCACAAAAAAATGTTCGTGATTTAATTGTCAAGTGGTTTCAGACAAAGAAAATATGTCGCACCAACACAATTGCTTTCTTTACTTGTTTTGACATTTATTATTATGTTCAGAGACACAACCATTTGATACATTTTAATCATGTCAATTCAAAGCACTGTAGGCTGTGTGTTTTCAGTGTATAGAGTTAATCGGCTGGTTAATAATGTCTTCAGTCTGTGGTTTCTCTGCCTGTGTGATATTAAGGCTGCGGTTATTTGGATTAGCTAAACGTAGCTCGGCCAATCACACAGAGGATTAGTAAAAGCACTTGTTTTGTGGCTTTTGTTGACATTTAGATGACAAAGACTCAATGAAACTTGTGCTTCAATTTTGTTTGCGAGGGAGAAAGTAAAAACAAAAAGTAAAATTATTAAACATTATTTAAAATAGATTGGTAGGACGACAACACCAATACTACTGCCATTATTAGCAACAACAACAAATAATAATACGAAGAGGAAGAACAACAACATCAGATAATAAATATGTTATTATTTATTCATTTATTCATAGACTACTAATTTGTTCAGTTGAAGTTCTTTACATTCTCCTATCATTATCATTATCGTTACCAGAATGATGTGAATCTGATAATCGAACACAAAAATGAAGTAAGGATATTTTGATAAGCCTGCCATTTATTTTATTTTCTTTTTTTACAAGCTTTGAAATCAAAATCAACGTGAATACAGTGATTAAAACAGACTAATAATAAGAGTAGTAAGAATTGTACGATATTAAAAGCACAACAGTAGTAATTCCAGAAATGATAAGGACAATAATAAAACTCATAACAGTGTATTATTACATATACATATTACATATTCCTCCTTTTCTAATGTATTATTCTAAGGACACATTAGAATAAGAAACAAATAGACTTAAAATAATATTAGAAATATTATTCTTACACGATGTTATTATTATTATTATTATTATTATTATTATTATATTATCATCATCATTATTATTATTATTATAGAAACAACAACAAATAAATAATGCTGAAATATGGGCCATTTCAGTCACCACGGTGTTAAGGGTCAGCGGTGATGGATGTGTTGCCCGTTGCTGAAGGCCGTTGCGCGACGCCACTATTGTCCAGAGTTTTCAGAGTCGGAAATGTCGCTGTTGTTGTTGCTGACAGATTTCTAGCCGCCATCCACGTCCTCACAGCACATCATTCTCTCTCCACTTCCCTCTGCATCACTTCTAAATGATGAGCTTCACTGTTCAGTTGTTTCCCTGAGCCTGTATGGGGATTGTATGTATAAATGAATGATATAAAAACAAATATGGGCCTATGTATTAATATAATATAATTATTATATAGTATTATAATATAATATAGTTTCAATTATTTATACATGATAGGTGCAATAGGCTCTGCACTGTGTGTGCTAATGTACTTCCTACAAATTTCATGGAACTGTTTGGAGTCTGGAAAAACTCTGTCCTTTATGGCTGTTCTCTGTGTGTTTGTACTAGTCTCTCCCCTGTCTATTCCACCACTGAGGCACAGCCTCCGGTGTAGCAATGTTGCAGTGACCGTAGACCCAGGCAGAGGAGAATAAGCAGAAGCCTCCCTATCATACACTGTTTCCTTCCAGGCTCCATCTCCATCCTCAAAGCACATGGCTCCCTGGGTCCAGCCATCATCTGATGCCCACTGAAGTGACTGCTATGCGGCTTGGCCCTGCCTTTGTACTGCCCACTGGGCAGATCTCTGTGGCTGCTGCCTGTTCTGCTGCCCAATCCCACTGCTGATAAATCAGGCCCTGGCCAGCATGAGCCTGACAGGCAGAGTGGCAGGGCGGAGCCTTCTACTCTCATTCACCCATCATGAAAGAGACTCTGAGGATGAACACATTTATTGCTTTATCTTTCTGTCCATCCAAAAATGACCTCATTTAGGTTAGGTTAGCAAAGTTATTTATACTGACTTTAAAGTTTTTTTTTTATGTTGTATTACTTTAATGGCTTTTGGGTACTTTTCTGGAGAGTTCTTCTCAGCCAAGGAAGCAGTGAAAGACTTCATTATACCATAGAGAAATATACATTTATTGGCCACTTTAGAGGCCTCCTCTAGTTCTCCATCAGTAGTCAATTTCTGAACACATTAGAGCCACTTTTGGCTGCAGATTTTAGGGTAGTGGAGCACTCTAAATGGCCTCTATGGTGGTCATTCCATTGTTCTGAAAACACCAGCAGCTTCTTTGTTTGATTTGTAACTGTTCTTCTTCTTTATCTATTTCCTTTTTTCAGTATCAGCTTCTTGACAGCTACAAATCCTTTCAGACCCATAGCACTGAGTTGTCTGCTCCCGGTGGAAGGATGGACAGAAACACCTGTGGATTTTTTCCAATCAGAAACAAGAGAAGCAAGATGAAAACCTTAAGTGCTGTTTATCCAAGTGACAGATTTGATGGTATTAAAGATCTTGCCTGGTTGTTAAGAGTTACATTCTCTCTTTAATAATTTTTTTGAAACTCCTGTTTTTTTTTCTTTGACACTCCCCTTACTCATGCAAGTCACATATCTAGTCTCCTCAGAAATATCTCCTTTAAAATGAATAACTTGTACTTTTTCTGGCCTTTTTGACAGAAAGTTAACCCCTTAAAAATCCCAGGCTTATTAAATTAAGACTTATTATTCTGCATCTACCCTGCGATGGATTGGCAGCCTGTCCACGGTGTTTCCTGTCTTCCGCCCATTGAACGCTGGGATAGCCTCCAGCTCCCCCCGTGACCCAGAAGGATAAGTGGCTTAGAAAATATGTGTGTGTGTGTGTGTGTATTCAGGGACTTCAATGTAAAGTGCCTGAGTTATTCTAAGGTCACTGAAGTGTGTAATAAAGCTTCGGACTCACCAGTGGGCCCGGCCATTTAAGGGCTTGAATAAATGAAGGTCTCTGACTTTTGCACAGTACTGCATAAGAAAGGTAGAGTTCATAAAATGAGTCTAAGTAAAAGGAACTTAGCATTAGGAGATTTTGATTAGATTGTTTCACTTCAAAAAGATGTTCTTACCCCTTTTGCTCTTTTCCTTTATTAAATATTCACACCTGTTGATTTTTTTGGAATGCAGGGTAAAAAGATTGTAGGATATTGTAGAGTAAAGTTTTCTTTTTCTGCTCTTTTACACACACCCACGCCACAGATCACACATTAAGCTGCATTGATTTGTTGTCACTTGCCCATTACCCCCATCATGAAGGGAACGCAGTATTGCCCCTTGAGGAATGCAGAATTATTAATGTGTAACTTTTGGCTGCTGATAATCCATATAGAACTGTAATAATAGTGCTCTTAGAGTTGGAGGGTCCATGCTGACTAATGAGAGCACGCACTGAGGATTTGTTCAGGCCCATAACCCTGCAAAACAAACATCAAATCATTGATGCCAACAACACGTTCCAAAAATTTGGGACGGGGACAACAAAGGTTGTCTGGTAAAGTTGTGTAATGCTAAAAAAACACCTGGTGGTTAATTGGCAACAGGTCAGTAACATGATTGGGTATAAAAAGAGTCTTTCAGAAGTAAAGATGGGGAGGGGTTCACCACTTTGTGAAAGACTGTGTGAGCAAATAAGAATAACGTTTCTCAACATAAAATAGCAAAGAACTTTTGTTTTTCATCATCTACAGTACATAATATCATTAAAAGATTCAGAGAATCCAGAGAAATCTCTGTATGCAAGGGACAAGGCCAAAAAACAGTATTTGCTGGCTGTGATCTTTGGGCCCTCAGGCAGCACTGCATTTAAAACAGACATGATTCTCTAGTGGAAAACACTGCATGGGCTAAGAAACACTTCTGAAAACCACTGTCTGTGAAAACAGTTCATCGCTGCATCCACAAAAGCAAGTTAAAACTCTAAAACACAAAAAAGAAACCATATATAAACAGGATCCAGGAACGCTGCCACCTTCTCTGGGCCTGACCTCATTTAAAATGGACTGAGGGGAAGTGGAAAAGTGTCCTGTGGTCTGACAAATCACCATTTGACATTCTTTTTGGAAATCATGGACGCTGTGTCCACTGGGATAAAGACCACTTGGCTTGTTATCAGTTCACAGTTCAAAAGCCAGCATTCATGATGGTATAGGGGTGCATTAGTGTACATTGCATGGGTGATGTGCACATCTGTGAAGGCGTCATTAATGCTGAGCGATAGATGTTTTGGCAATATATGCAGCCATCCAGACAACGTGTTTTTCAGGGAAGGCCTTGCTTTGATTTCAGCAAGACAGTATCAAACCACATCCATTGCAGTATTGCTCTGTAGTAAAAGAGTCCGGGTGCTAAAATTACCTGGCTGCAGTCCCATCTGTCACCACTGAAAATATTTGCCGCGTTATGAAATGAAAAATACGACAAAGGAGACCCCAAACTGTTGAGCAGCTGAAATCCTATATTAAGCAAGAATTTACATTCTATTATTTACACTCTACACAGCATCCCAACTTTTTTGGAAATGGGGTTATACATTACCATATATCGGGGAAACAGGAAGGACATGTTCATTTCCACTTTGTGAATTTACGCAATATAATTTTTGTGGGGTGGCAGAATGGTTGTGAAGAAAAAGTACATCACTTATATTGTTGATAAAATTTCATATTAATCACCCACACCAGTTA